GCTTTGTTTTTGTCAGTTAACTATAGTTCGGGATCAATCTGTCTAGGATAAGACAATGACATGTTAGCTATATTATTATGCTTACAAACGTTTGTAAAGCTGAGCTGGTTCGTCCTGTGGGTAAATTCCACACAAATCATCCAATAAACGACATGATTGTCTTTTTTTATTGAATTGTCTGAACTCTGTTACTGATCGGCACCAAATGACTCAAATGTGGATTTTGTTACATTCCTGTGAATATTATGTCTAAACTTGGTGGGTGGTGATTGACACAAATTCAAAATATTTTAAATAAATAGTTTTCAATTGTCAGATAAAATAAGCCGAAATTTTTAAGAGAGAGAGAGAGAGAGAGAGAGAGAGTTCTATTCCGGTATTCGCCGAGAAAGTTCCAGATGGGTTCCCTCTTGTCACCGTTGCATGAATCTATAGTTATTCTCTCTGAAACAAGTATATTTTTGGTATGGTTACCAGTCACGTACAGGAGTTGAAAATTCGTCAACAATCAAATTAAGGAATGGGCAGTAGAATTCCCAAAAATGCATAAAAGAGTGGTAATCTCCATGATAACATTTCATTTTTTTAATCAGGAAGAAAAACGTGGTGCGATAAAACTTCACGTTAGTTTTATGGTATCGTTTATGTCATCAATAAATTTATAACGAACTTTGATCATTTCACGGTAAAATGATGTTGCTTAGGACATGGGAGCCCGGGCAGCATGAAAGGGGACAAGATCATCAAGGAATTAATAAAATTGTATTAGTATGATGTGCTTGTCAATATTATTACTTGATTTACATGTTTTCGCCAATGTGATGGTTGGTGTTAACTATTAAGGCAGTGCCAAAGAGTAGAGTATGAAATATGTATATCTATGCATGTTTTCCCTTTGAAATGATTTAAAGTATCTAAGTCTCTAACTTAACATCATCCAAAGTCTTACACGTTGAAAACGCGAATTATTTGTCAATTCAAATCAACATTGATGTTGTTATCTTACCGGGAAAGGGTAGGCCTCTGATATCCTATATTTAAGACAAAATAAACATTTTACCACTGGTACACGAATCGTGCGTTTCAGTGTCAGTTAACAACTGACCAGAAAGAACGAGACTAGACATATTCCCAATCTGATTAAAATACAAATCCATGTTTCGTTTCGTTTTTTTATACTTTCGATGGCCTACACTACATGAAGATCTGACAAGTTATAACGATAGGTCACGTCAGGGGTCAAAAGACCGACTTATGACCCTATGATGTCAGACATTTGATTAACCAATCAGCATTGATGTTACTAGTGGATTACCCACAGTTCTGTACAAAACACGCCTAAAGCTCGCCGTAACAGACCGTTTCATTGGCTTATCCCTGACACCATTCAGAACACGAGTTAAATAACAACTCTTCCAGATCCAAGTGTAGTAAAGACAAGTAAAACGAAATTTTGAACTATAAAAACGAAACGAAATACGATCTGTGTTTTAACCAGATTGGACATATTCCAAAACTCCTGTCAAAAGGTAACGCCATTTATCTGGTGGGCATGCGCAATAACCAGACACTAGAAATTGAAATTCGGTTGAGACTCATGCCGTATTTCGCTGGACATAACTGATTTGAAATTAGAGTCAAAACGGAAACAATTGAATGTAAATCATTTTATATAAAATCAGATTAATTATTATATGCGTTGCGACCCATTAAATTGATAATAAAAGTAGTAGGAATATTTTGAAGTTTCATTGTTTTGTTTAAATTAGATGTGAAGTCATATCAATTGCGCGATTGTCTAATGGCAAGCATGTCAAGTTTCGCAGAGCCCTCAAGAAAAAGAACAAGATTAGTAGCACTCGAAGTTCCTGGTCCAATGCCCCCACCCAGCAAAAACGCCACCACTGTTTTGAGTGTAGCCTAAGTTAGTTAAGGTTATGTGTACAGCGTCATGTTGTATTCGGACGCATATTCCCGAAGCAAGGTCTGAGAAATCCCCCTATATAATAGGTCTAATCAAACGAAACACTGCGTATGATTCGAACGATGCCTGTTATCACGCTGACAAACGCTATAATAGAAGACCTTTTACATACCACCAACTGTGTACAGTAAAAAAATAATAACGAGTCAAAATTAACCAATTGTGGTGATTATAATTCAGTTTGTAATATAAATAATTTTACACTCTTCAATAAGGGAACAATAAATCAATGGACAGAAAACGTAACAAAAATCAATCATTCATAAAAAGGAAAATATCTTTTGTTTAATTTTGTTTTGTCCAATAAACAGGAATGGCGACTATTTTAAGTTCTTTACTGTTCGTCTATGCAAAGAAACAAAAATATTTGTTTAGAGAACTGTAAACCCTGTGGGGAAACGTGTCTTGCGGGTTATTCACGTGGATGGTTAAAGGGGTCGTGGGTTTATTTATGCAAATCACCAAAATGACAACATGTAGTCTTTATCGTGTCTGAAAGTTTCACGTTCGGGTATGATAGCTAAATGATCTGGTTTACTGGGTAAAGTAGCCCATGCACTGAACAATCGCGATGATTACTTACATCGGCAAGAAAATAAACCTGAGTATGCAGGGTTTGGCTGGAAACTTTGTAATTCTACCAAAATGAATCACAAAGGGGCTTAAAGATACATTATGGGAGATAAGATAAAGAGATGGCAGTTCTCGGTATAATAGTTAAAAACTAGATAGTGTAAAGGTAATTTGCTGAAAATTTCAGTCAAATTGATCCACTATGAGCCGAGAAAGAAGCGGGTGAAATTTTTGCATAGTCTCGGTCATCATTACTAAAATCATTAATATAAACAGCATAGTCTCGATTATCCACTTTTTCTGATTTAATTATCAGTGGCCGTTAGCGGCATATAGGAATCTAATCCAGCCAACATCGAAGGCTAGCCTTGACATCGAGAGTTTATTATGGTCTGGATAAGTTAATTAATGTCTAATTGATAATTTAGATAGCATTTCAGGCCTAAAGAAAGACTTGTAATAAGCAGATCCTGCTTTATTCCCTAAGGGTTGCCATTTTGTAAGAATTGGATAAAGAGCTATCTTTAACTTAATGGTAGTTACATGCGTTGCCAGGGAGGTTTTTTTCCCTTATCAATCCCGCAGACTTGAAATCCGAGTTTTCATGCCCCCCTACCCCCGTTGTGATACGAATCTCTACATTCTAGACTACAAAAGACCAGTCCCTAATCACTCGACAACCGAGGTCCCCAGATTAGATTGAAGCCAGGAGTAAGTGCATTCTGGCTTTATGTCATTGCCTCTGCAGTCTGATTAAAACACTGATCATATTTCGATTGTTTGTTGGGTTTGTTTATTAATTTTAAAGCTGTTTCTTTTACTCGTCTTCACTACACCAACGAAACAACGAAACGAAATCATATTTACAATGTTATTATTTTGGCGAGACAATTCAAATTTGCCTCTATTGTATTTTCATATTCTCTCTTGGTCTGGACAATAAGAATCTTTTAGCGAACAAATAAGAGATTATATAATGGCATGGTAATTTCATTTATAGTGCCAATTGAAACTATATACCACTTGGTAAAAAGGAATGGAATGTAATGTTTCGTCAACACAATAGTGCGGTCATTTTTATTTCTATTTTAACGTGTGCAATGGGAAGAGTCAGGATTTTGACTTATATTTCCGACTGGTGTTTTGGGGAGATCAACGTGCACGCAAATGGGCCTCGGTTTTTCGTCAAAACCGAACGACTGTGCACACTTTCCTCGCAATCGCCACCACTGACAATTGGAAGGCTGGACTTGAAAAATTTCAAAGCTGGTATTTGAAACCGGAACCGTTCGTACTTGTTAAATAAAAGGCGTATTTCCGACGTGCAACAGAATCCCCCACAGGCGCGTATTTACGAAATAATTCAACTATAGCAAGGCAATCGTGTATGTACTGTATTAGTAATTCCACGTCATTATACAATTTCATAGATACAAGGACCTGATACTCTTCCGCAACACAGTATATATGTGTGATTTAGTCTAGGTTGAAATAGTTCAAACATTTGCACCCATGATAAATGTTAAAGGAGCTAAATCGCTAATATTTGGGACCTAGAAACTGACCCAAATAGGTCGCAACGAATATAATAATGTAATCTGATTGTATATAAACTGATTTACATTCAATTGTTTCCGTTTTGACTCTTAATTTTAAATCAGATATGTCCAGCGAAATACGGCCTGTGTCTCAACCCCATAACAATTTCTAGCGTCTGGTTATTCCAGTCTATTGAGCAGGCTCTCCAGTTGAAAATGTCTAGCCTCGTTCTTTCTGGTCACTTGTTGCAAATGACGCTAAAACGCACTATGGTACACGATTCGTGTACCAATGGTAAAATGTTTATTTTGTCTTAATTATTGGGTATCAGAAGCCCATCTTTTCCCCGTAAGATCACAACATCAATGTTGATTTAAATTGACAAATAATTCGTGTTTTCAATGTCGATGATTTTGGATGATATTGAGTTAGAGACTTAGCTACTTTAAGATGTGGTTCTAACAGAAATCTTATTCGTTGTCATTTGGCGTAATATGTATGGTAAAATATGAGGAAAGGGAATGCTTTAAATAGATCCTAGACTTTCATCATAAAGAGCAAGGTCAGTTTATAATTTATATATTTCGTTAGAACGCTTTTGAATTACTTAAATAAAATTTCATACATGTATAACTCTACTTGATGAGAGTGTATAGGGTTATTGTTGACAATAAAAAGGAAAAATAAAAACAGTATTGTATCTAATCTATTAATTTAAAAACGAATAATATCGCGACAGTGCTGTGATAACTTTACCTGAATCTGGATCCACTTAAAATCAACAGAAATAACTTTTGGAACGGAAATATGTTCATACAGATAAATAAGTTGTTTTCAATTAAAAAATGTTAACTCGAATAAGTAAAAAGATTATTGTCAGAAGAAAAAGCAAAACAACACATACCTCTTTTTCGGTATTCGTTAAAATCCATCGCTGTTTGTTGTGTCGTTATTTCTTGTTATTAATTTAAAATTGTACGTCTTTGGTATGATTTATAGACAGAAGCTAAACAAAACTTCGAAAATTGAGTAAAAGCTATCAGTACTTGAAAGAGTTCTTAAAAAGGAAATTATTTCTTTTGGCAAAAAGAGGTTAACGCGATCTGCAAGACTGTTCAATGAATAAAGGTCTTTTCACAATCGATTGATGAGTATGGCAAGATAGCAGTATAGTTCCTTAAACACACGTTTCCTTCGTCGATTTGTTTCTTAGACAAGTTATCGGTAAATCACGGAGGCAGCTGACAGCAATGTACCGGTAGAAGAGGTTTTGTCTTATCAACCGCATTTGGAATCATTCTGTTATTGGTCGCCTTGTTTGTGGGTCGTGACAACGTCAAACGCACCTGTGTTTTTTCATTGGTTGATAAGTAAAATGGGTGTTTTCCTATACTCGTAAATTGTCTTTGATAGCATCGGGTATTTGATAAGCGCCTACGCCGTTTCGAAATGGATTCTTTGGGTGTCTTTAGTTGATTTATTTCGAAAGTCTCGTTCATTTCAGATTGCCAAAGAAGAATGAATAAAATATCAAGGCGCAATTGGCAAGTTAATGAAGGGAGTTGAGGAATTAACCATGCGAGGTTCCCTCGTTCTGTTTTGCAAACCTACAGAATATTGGATCAGAATGGCTAAGTGAATACGGCGATGGCTTTTTAGGCAGGAGGTTTAACGCAGCAGGGCGAATACGTATAGCACTTTTATCCTGGTCCCGAAAAAACAAAACAAAAATGTAATACAACCATGTGTTACATTGTCTGAACAAACGGCAGCAAAAAGAATAGGTAGCAATGTCCTTTGTGACGGTCGCCAATTCCTTGCTTCACGTTGTGTTTTAAAATGGACTTCTAGATAGACATGGTCACGGACTAAATATAACCTCCAATATATCTCCATAATAACTCAGGAACAATCTGTTCTTCTTAAATGCGTTTTTATATCAACCACACGGGAACTGACTGAAGGGTTCTAAGCCTGAAAAGGATAGATCAATCAGGTTGAAACAAACTTTTGCCACCAACAAGTATAATCAAGGAATGAATCATACACACAAGAACTGCTACTTGTGGGCCTACCCATTGAAATAACCAGAAATGGACAAAACTGGCTACAAGGCAGTCATCAAATACCTGCAACTGCAAGGATAAACCCCAACACAGATACATGTCGACATGGACTCCACTTCAGGTGATGCTGTCCCTTCCTTTTCCACAGGAAAGAAGTGGACTGCGGAATTTAAGCGTGGTAGAGAGGGCCTTGACAATGACCCGCGTCCTGGAAGGTCATCAACAGCGACCATTCAAGAAAACATTACCCGGGTGCATGACATGGAGATTGACATGGTGATGGCTGATCGACGATTGATCACTCGACATATTGCCAGTGTTGTGGGCATCTCCCATGAGAGGGATGAGCGCATTATTGCCAACGAGGCAGACGTGACAAAAGTTTCTGCAAGATGAGTGTCAAAGCTCTTAAATGCGGATCAGAAACGTGTCAGATTCCTGACGTCCCGTGACACTCTGTGCCATTTTGAAGCAAACCCTGATAATCTTTTGGTCAGATTATAACCATGGATGAGACCTGTTTCCCAAAATGAAAAAGCAACTAGTAATGATGACGTCATGTCAACTGTGAACGACGTGTTTAATGTGGCGGAAGAAAGTGCTTACTGACCGGCATCCAGGCCTTGCAACATCGCTGGCAAAAGCGTGTACACCTCGGAGGGGACTATGTAGAACAACAAATGGATATCATCGACTTTGTACAAGTTTTTCACAGATAGGCTTAGAATTTTTCAGCTAGTCCTCGTACATAAACACAAATACAAGTCTAGATAAAACTAAAGAAGGTGTATTTCGGTCTCTCTGAACCCTCTCATCTCAGTCTTGCCGGAAACGTTACATCTTGTCTTCCCAAGAATGCTAATGGATCGGCTTCAGCCGAAGCGGGTTCTGGTCTTTTATATATCCTGATATCAAGTTATTAAATAGCTGATATGCCCAATGATGTAAAGAATTGCCCAAATGTTGACTATGTAAATAATAATTACAAACTGCGTCAAATGTAATGGTGGGGGGGGGGGGCCGAATGGTTAGCACGTGCGCGCTGTATCATAAGGTCTGCCATTGAGTCAATTGGCGTGGTTTCGAGTCCTCGATTGTACGTGACAAGGAATAGGGTCGTCTGTCCAACCTCATGGGTTTTCTCCGGGTCCTCCGGTTTTCTTCCACTGCTAAAGACCCCCGGGGGGGGGGGGGGATGGCTGAATGGTTAGCACGTATCATAAAGTCTGTCACTGAGTCAACTGCGTGGTTTCGATTCCCTGGTTGTACGTGACAAGGAGTAGCGTCGCCTGTCCAACCTCGTGGGTTTTCTCCGGGTCCTCCGGTTTCCTCCCACTTCTAAAGACCCCTACGCGCAAGCGAATTATGTAAATAAAATTGAACCATATGTTAGTCCCGAAATGACCTCGTTTGTGTCGAGTGGACGTTAAACCCCATTTCTCTCTCTCTCTCTCTCTCTCTCGCTAAAGACCCCAACGCGCAAGCGAATATTGAAATAAAATTGAACCATATTTTAGTCCCGAAATGACCTAGTTTGTGTCGAGTGGACGTTAAACCCCATTTCTCTTTCTCTCTCTATGTAATGGTTATGTATTTCACATAAGCTATCTGATGGTGACAGTTAGCTATATGATAACCAGTTAGTGTACAAGAAATTTAATGGCGCTATTTATTATTTTTTTTGGTGCAGTATGAAGTTTTAAAAATTGATAATGTTTACCTGTGTGGAACGCCGGGTAACTAAGCTCGTTCATATCATCATTTCACAGCTTTAAGTCAGTGTGTTCTGTCATACGACTTGAATATTGGACTGGTTTGAATTCCCGTGCAATACTTCAATTTTGATTGGCTAAGCACTAAAATCAATGTAATATCATGGACCGTGTATAGATGGACAGGCAACGCCCACGAAGCCTTTAGAATTCTATGCCGCGGCAAAAGAGAGACCTGACAATTGTGACTAAATTAAATTAGCTCCCCTCGCGCAAATGTCTGTATTAAGTTTAAAAGCAAAGAAACAGAAATCAATTCATAATATTTTTATTAATCTTGCTACTCTTTTTTTTTAAAATCCATACATAGATAGACTACTAACTGATGATTGGGGTGTAAATATATCAACACATCGTCTTTGTTTACTTCGGACGCGCCTATGTGAATCCGAAAAAAAAAACGTCGAGTTTTTCTTAAAAACAAATCTACTAAAACACTTTTTAATTTTTACTTCTGCACAATTAATCGTCATTCCGGACAGTATTATACCTGAACTTTATTTTCATAACATTAAAATCCTTCATACATAGGCCTACGGGAATTTGGAGTATTAAGCAAAACCAAAATGCTTACAAAACCTACGAAAATATTGAAATCGATCATTTCACAATTTTCAACTGCTGCATTTGGAAATTTCAAAGTTTCAAACTGGACAAATTCGTCACTACCGGATAGGAATACTTATCAGGTTGAAAAATTACCGTGTAACTATAAGAATACCGTAAATTCCAAGGAGGAGTTCGAGAAATTAATCAGTATAAAATCCCGCAATGTCAAAAATGACATCGCTTGATTTGCCTTTGACATTGAGATCTCGCCGTGTCTCGCGCGAGCGGCAGAGAATCCAACAAACGGGACTCGTTGCCTGTCCATCTATACACGGTCCATGGTAATATTATCCAATCAAATTACTAAAATTTGAATTTTATCTTAGTAAAATTTTGTGAAACAGGTCCCAGGTCCGTATGGACTTTGCGTGTAACGTCATCACTGTGTGTGTATTTCTCATACGTGATACGACACACGGAACAGCTTTCATAGGGAAAACGTCCGTATAACATCGTTGTCTTTTTACCGTTTTTTTTTTCTACTTTTAGACCCTGAAATGTTGTGCCATATTTGTTTTTATAAATCTATGTTTCCTAAAAACAGGAAGGTGTAGATTTGATGTGATTTTAACCATGATAAAGACGGGAATTTAATCATTATTTTTTCTCGGAATTTTCATATTTTTCCAGTCTGTCTGTCCTGTCCGTCTGCCTGCATGCCGGTTAATCTTATCTACGCGCTAATGCACCGGTAAATAGGAATCTTGAACTACCCGCCCCCCCCCCCCTCAAGCGTTCACCCCGGATTGTCATTTAGCTCAATATTTTAGGGTCAAGATTCACCCCGCAATGCACTTGAAGCCAAGACACATTCACTGAAGATTCACTTTCTAACGCAGGTCCAAAAATAAACATTAGTTCAAGATTCACGCAATAGTCATCTTGAACTACCTACCCCAAGCATTCACCCTTGATGGCATTTTGCTCAATATTAGGGTAAAGATTCACCCCCAATTCCAGTACCGGATCTAGGTAGAGCAAAGTGGGACAAATGTCCCAGGCCTTCACTATTTGGGTCCCCCTAAAATATTTGGGTCTTTGTCCCACCAGCCTGCAGAGCTCCGAGCTGGATGTGGTCCAAAGGATTTTCGGCGATCCATGGATTGGTATGCCCCTAATTTTTACTAAATTACCTAATTTATCAATCCATGGACCTCTGAAAAGTGTCAATGAATCCGTTGGATTAAACGCAGTATATTTCATCTGAAGAAAATCGCTGCTGGAATGGCCTCAGTTGCACAGAAATCAATCCTAATTTTACACATTTTATCGGTAGGACTAGGAGAACCACCCAGACACTCCTTCGCTCCGTCAGCGCTAGTGTTGAGTGCCTACAGTACAGGAATGGGAATTCCGGGAATGGTGAGGCCATGCACACAAATTATCTAAAGGTCAAGGACATCGCTGCATTTATGAAAATCATTCCTAATTTCCATAATTTCACCCTTTTTTCCATACGATTACATCATGTGTTACTACTCCGACATGATAGCAAATGGCCGGCATTTAAAATACTACGCTAGTCTCTCAGAGACGATAACTTAATTCGCTATAAATTGTAAACAAAATTACCTTAGAGTTAGTTAGAAGACAAACATACCTAACATAAACTTTCGCAAAAAAATACTAGTCAAGAATATAAAACTGAGCCTACTGGGGGTCGGGCAAATTACTCATAGTTCCGTTGGCGTCAGTTCATTTTACCTAAATATTCTAAAAATAGTAACAAACTTGACGTTATAGTTACGATTATCCAGATTACCATGAAAACATCATAAAGACAATCGCGTCTACAATTTTTCAGATGGAATTTCCTGTATGACAGCCAACGATAACAGACGGAAGTTCGTCCTTTTTTAGAAAAAAAACCCCCACTTTTTTAAAAATACAATATTTACTGAAAAATGTGTTGGTTGAAGATTCGACGTCTGTTTGTGTTCAGCAATATTTTATTTTGTTCAAAATTCACCTTTGGCAAATTTTTTTCTCACCAAAGATTCACAACTCTTTCACATTTAGCTGGCTATTTTGACGTCAAGATTCGACGCCGACATGGCGTCGAATAGCCGTCGATGCTTGAGGGGGGGGGGGGGGGGGGCGGGTAGTTCAAGATGCCTATTGACCGGTGCATAAATTTAGGCACTTGACTAGTACTGATTGTGATCTTGGTAGATAACTGCCATCATGCTGCAATAGAACAAAGCTCAGCTCAGCTACTCATACTTATACGTAAGCGACGCGAAAATCTGCCATAACTCGAAAACTACATTGACACAAGGTTGGGGGGGGGGGGCGCGAAAGGTAAGCGCTTACGCGTTGTATCATAAGGTCTGTCATTGAGTCAACTGGCGTGGTTTTGATTCCCCGGTTGTATGTGACAAGGAGTAGGGTCGACTGTTCAACCTCATGGGTTTTCTCCGGGTCCTCCCACTGCTAAAGATCCTCACGCGCAAGCGAATTACTGAAATAAAATTGAACCATATGTTAGTCCCGAAATGACGTA